ACTTGATAAACTAAAAAGCGTATCAACACCATCAATGCCATGGCTATCACTACCCAAATCATCATAATGTGAAAACTTCACACTGGTTTCTGTATTTCTGTCCACTCTTTCTTTTGACTATACCTTGATTTCCAAATATAACAGAAACTTTAATTACTTTAATTTGAAAGGAAAAAAAACATGGACCACTGCTACAGTCCAGGATTTTACTAATTAGGCAAGGTATGATGCTTTTAATATCTGATTCAGGAGTGTCTTACAGAAAGATGAGACAGTTGTAGGAAACATGCAAGTTATGTCAATGCGTGCTGGCTCTTGAAGTGCTGACTTCAGACACAGTCTCCACGAATTCTTGAGTGAGATTTGCTTCTTGGTTCCCTGAAGTCGTTCTTTAGTACTAAACCTTGTACCAGGCCCCCATCCCAGATCTGTAGATCTATGTCATTTTTTGTATTCTAAACCTTTTTTTTGTTAGTCATATGTAATTCTCTGATAAATTTAATATTTTATTTTCAATAGCTGTAAATCATAATGAAAAGAATTAACAGGATAATCTCTTAGTTTCACTTTTTTGAATTGAGTAGAGTTAAATAGCTTTTCAATTACATTCTAATTTACTGAGCTGCCCCATGGTTGAAGTGAAACCATCAACCCGGACATGCCAAGTTTACTCTGTTTTCGACGAGAAACAGAGTAAAAACATTTTCAGCGAAGTATTGCGGATTTTCCTGTATCGTAACTATGGATACTCCCGTGCAGCAGATGGCGCTGTGCAGTTTTTAATGTAGTTAAACATACAAGAAGGATCATTTGGGAAGCAGCAGTGTGCATTTTGCTATGTTTTCAGGACCTCTTTGAAAACAAACACAGAAAGGTTTAGACTTTTAAAAGCTTCTTAATTTAAACTGTATTTTACTGTCAAATAACGATGCCAGCGGCAGAGGAATCACACGGTGAGTACTAAACAGCTATAAAAGGGTCAGAACTTCACTACTGAGATAAATAGGAACAGTGACAGACTTGTAGGGTCTCGGTTGTAAAGTTTCACCATAAAATGACAGAAGCTAGTCTTTTCCGACTGAATAGGAACACTCACTTTGATCTCAACTTTGTTTTTGATTTCAGCCATTCATCGATACAAAACAATGGGGATATAGATACACTAGAACACTTACCTAAAAAAGAAAAAGGAGAGAAAAAGAAAAAAGCAGCCAAATGTAAAAAGTGATAAATTTAAAAGATTGCAAGAATTTCTGACACTTGTACCAATAGGAAGAGGTGGTAAATTATGTCATAATTAATGCATTTGTCCTTATGTGGAGTTGTTCTTTTGTAATTTTAGGCATCAACAGAGCTGTAGACAAAATCTGCAGCTTGCCCCCATATCTGTTAACTGAAACAGTAAGTAATATAAAACTTAATAAGTTAATCATTTCTGGGTGTGAAGGGAAACGGCATACTTGTAATTTCTTTATCGTATCATTGACATCTACTGGCACACATGCAACTTCTGAAATGCGGCGAGTAAAAGCGAGGAGACTAACATGTCTGGTACGATTTGCTTCATAATGTGTCTGCCTTGATAACAGCAGGATGTAAACAGAGTTGAGTAATATTGATTTTTTGTGTGTGTGTGTGTTAACCGCCCTCTGCACAAACCACTCAGGATGCGGTTTTGGAACGGTTCAACTGCAAATCTTTTAATCTTCACAGTCTCAGCACATTCTGACATATCTTCAAGGGCAAACCAGTGGAGTAGATTCAGCTGAAATTGCTCTTGTGAGTCAAAATTTCTTTTTTTTTTTTCAAACAACCTCTTCCACTCATGTGAATGTTGCTATGTGCCCTAATGTGTCCTTTCCTCTTTTTTTATTTTATTTTGTTAGAAACTGTGGAGTGCTCACTTTTAACCCAGAACAGGAATTAGAACAAACTTGGAAACCAGGGACTCTAGTTTATTAGTCACTCTTTAGCTTATATTTTAGAAACTGTAGGGTGCGCACTATTTAGATGCTGAGAAACTCCTATTATTGCAACCCAGAAAAGGAATTAGAACAAACTTAGAATCCAGAAAAAAAATATTCCAGAACAGAAACATTTAGTTTTTATTATTACTTAGAAACTGTGGAGTACTCATTACTTTTACAAATGTAAAGCACACTTAGAAAGTCCAGAGAATACTTATCCTTATCTAGCATCCCAGAAGTCCAAAGGATACTTACTTACTTACACTTATCTAGCAACCCAGAACAGGGATTAGAACAAACTTAGAATCCAGAAAAAAACCTACCTTAGCAACTACTTTTTAGACTCCTATTCTCCCAAACAAGAAAAGGAATTAGACCAGAAGATACTTACTTATACGTATCTACCAAACCTGAATAGGAGTATCTAGTTTATTTACTTCGGATCAACATTATTAGCTTTTTCTTCTTTTGCTCTTTCCTTTGGTTTGTTATTTTGTTTGTATTTCCTTTTAATTCCTGTAAAGCACTTTATATTGCCTTGTTGCTGAAAATGTGCCATATAAATAAATAATTACCTTTACCTTTCCCCAGTTGTTGCTTCCTGATTTTCTTTAAATGTTTATCATCTGAACAGAGACTTCAGAGGGTCGGGGTAACAATCGATCATGAAGCTGTCCAGGGTATTACCAGATTTCTTCTGTTGACATTCAGGTAGTGTTATTCATGTTTTGTTTTGTTTTTCTCACTGGATGTGGAGTGCTAATCTGGTCTTTATTTAGCAAATCAAAATGTCAAATCACACACAGAGGAGCACATCAGTCTGCTATCAGATGAAACATCAGTGGTTTGTATCTCCAGGTCAGCTGGAAAGAACAACTTCTCTGCAGACGAACTTGTGTCCAAACTGGAGGAAGGCAGCAACAAATGGTCCAAAGCTTCTCTTCAGACCTTGCACACGTTGTGGAGCGAACATGGTGCCTCGGTTCGTGCTCAGCAGGAAGTACAGTCCATGCTGAGCATCGGTCAGGTACGCACAAACTTAAGAGCATTTCCATTTAAAGAACAGTTGTACATTTGGTCATAATCCAAACACAAACAGTAAACATGTTATATAATTTAATTACAGGATGTTTGAGGTAATATTTTGTAAAACTACCACATTTGTGAGTATGTATCTAACAGTTGTGTCCACAAATTGTTCCACCCAAGCTGTGGATCTTTGGAGCTCCCTCACATATACGAAGGGTCTCTTGGCTGCTTCTTTGATTATTTCTTACCTTGCCTGGCCTGTCAGTGAAGTTGGACAACCATGCATCACTTCTTCCATTTTCAGAATCAAGCACGTCTTTGTCTGTCATGTAAAACCCCCAAATAAAACAAACACAACTATGTGGTTTAACGAGACAATTTGAGATCAAGCTGAAGCTAAGGGGTGTGAATACGTATCGAAGTGTGTCCTGATAATCAGAATAGATTTGTGTTTACGCTGTAGCTTGTGGACATGCAGTGGAAGCTGGGGATGGCGGTGAGTTCAGACACGTGCCGGTCTCTAAACTCCCCGTACGTGTCTCTGCTGCTGAAGATCGTCGAGCCCTCTGGACAGATCTGCCAGAGGGCTTTCGAGATGACAATTCCACAGTTCCAGGTTGGTGTTAGTTGACATTGACTTTGATCTATATTAATTCTGACTGAATTATTCAGACACTGATGATATTTTCTTCTTTTTTTTTTTTTTTACTTTTGACTCTTCAGAATTTTCACAAGCAGTTCAAGGAGATGGCAGCGATTATGGAGACTGTATGATGTGCAAAAAAGCCAAAGTGTGCAGTTAGTACCAGTTTATATAAAGGTGAAAGAAGGAACAGCTTGACATCCTTGTTTTTTTTTCTTCTTTCTTGCCAGGTGTCTTAAAATGTCGACGTGACTTGCTGTAAATGTCAGCTCTCAGCTTGTCTCTCTCTGAGATCTTGTGTGATGCATTTGGAACCCTTTAAGATAAGAACAGCTGAAAAAGGCAGCTTTTAGGGTTACGTAATTTATCCTATTGCTGAGTTTCGCGGGAGATTTGCAACATCTGTTATGTGTCCATGATGAGACCGATTTATGACTAATATATTTTTATTTGCACACTTCGACCATAAATATCCATTTTTGTATTTCTGTTGAGGTTAAAAGACTGTTACGTCATTTTATGATTGCTTTTTCTGTCAGTTTTGATGCCTTCATTGAAATTCTGTATATAAGTCATGATGCACTTTAAAATAATAAAGTGGTTGTTCCATTTAGTTTTTGCATGTATTTTTGGATTCTACTGCATTTTCCTAATATCTGCAGCTTTTCATCACATTTTTCTCTTTAAAAATAAATACAGTTCCCTGTTTGGAAATAGTTTTAACTGGCTTCATTTTGTAATAGAATAGAAATACCCATTATTGTCCAATAATGGGGAAATTCCGGTAGGTTCATGGTTAAACATGAACCTGTACATTTTCTTTACGTTTTAAATGGTCCTTGTTAGATGTGGGTACCACATAGTATTTTAAAAACAACAAATTAGTTTTTAAAATTATTTGTTGTGTGCCCAAACATCCATAACAGAGAAGTTACCCTGAGTCACTGCACTGGGGAAGCTGGTATGGAAGAATATATATTTACTTCATATTCCATGTTGTGAAAAAAACAAAACTGTAACTAACTCAGACAAGAAGTCATGTTTTTTATTTTTTATTTTTTATTTTTTTTCATTCATTTCAAACAATTGTAAGTGTAACAATTTAATATTTGGACTTGTGAAATATTGTGATCCATAAAAATGAGTTAGAAATTACAAAAAAAAAAGAAAAAAGAAATTTAACAAAGCATACCGAAAATAACGACTAGGAAACGTGCTTATAAAGGTTTGTCAATAATAGACGGACTTTTTTTTATATTCCAATAACAAAGCAAAACAAAAGAGTTAATTTTGGAAGAAATAAATTAGAAGCTTTCGTATTGGGATTGCTTTAAATAAGACTTTTAACGGTGCATTTAAAAGTCGGAAAAAGTCAACGTAGACGTCATCACTCCACAAGTCACGTGACGTGAGTCGCCATTTTGGATATCCTTTGGATACCTTTTCTGTTGTTTAACAACACGCGCGGAAAGATAAAGAACAAGTCTCTTAGGAAGACGAAATGGCTTGTTGTGTCGCTGTCGGTTGCTCTAATCGGTCAATCAGAAAAGATTTGTCATTTTACCGCTTTCCTAAAGACCCAGAGAGGAGGACTTTGTGGGTGCAAGCTGTGTGCCGCCGAAACTGGAATCCCACCGACTACTCCAGAATATGCAGTAAACATTTCATTTCGGGTAAATATACCAGTCTATGTGTGTATTATTGTTATATTGCTGAATTGATTTAGTTAACTTGCTGACTTATAATTTTCTCTACACATTGCTTTCACTAACCGCGCGGGTTGCGGGTGTTGTGTCGAGTCTGGTTCCACCGTCTAGTTGCCTCCTCACCAGTTCTGCACTGCTCTCGCTCCATGGCGCCTCTGCACCGCGTTTTATGCTCATGGGCGGCAACCTCACGTTGTACACTGTGTACACTAGGGCATTTATAGGAATATTTAAACAAATGTTCTTGCCATCAAATGTCAGTACAATATTGTGCAGTACTTCTTTGAATTATTGATCAGTTCTACGTTCAAAACTCACACTTAATAAAATCTCCCGTTACACATTTTGAAATGCTGTAAAATTATATCAATTTATTATACTAAAATTTCTGCAGGTTTTTATTAGCGCATAAAGCCCATGTGTTTTAATTCTGAGACACTTCTGCAGCAGCATTCTTAAATATTCAAGTTAATTACTGATAATGCAATATTTTCCAAAAAAGTTCTATTTGTCTTTAGATGCACCTTCATTAACTTTAGTCCATTTGTGTTGGGATCAGAGGTATGGAATTTGTCTGTATATCAAAATAGTCTGTAAATGCACCAAAGAGATAAGTAATTTCTCAGCCAAATCAAAAAGTAGGTCAAGCTGTGGACTTCACTTTCAGTTTGAAGCATTCACCAACCCAAGTTGAGGGACTCAGTTGTCAGACAGCATAAAGTAGCATGAGATTAGGTAATATTTAGTCATTGCTGTTGTATGAATCGACTTTGTTTAGCACTAACTCTGTTTAATTTGACAGCTCAGAGAGATGCAGAGAAATATTGAGAATTTTAGAGAGAAAAAAGAAAAGCACTTGTAAGGTGTAAAGTAATACTGTCCCAAACTTTGCAATATAACTTCACCAAACTGTAGATTTTGCTTCCAATGGGGTTAAGATAAAGACCTTGTTAAATTTTTAAGCAGTGGGTTCATTTATTACTATTTACATCATTTAAAATAGTGACTCGCATAAACTGTGGTGTTTTTATAATTTATTAAAACCTTTGAACAACTCTAAGACCTCCTAGAAATGGCCAAGAATCTTATTTTATGGCATTTCGAGAAAAAAAAAATCTCTTGCTGAGAAGTTTGAAGAACTTAAGCATTTTGGAGTTTGCTCAATGTAGAAATTCATTGAGAAATTAATTGAGCATTCAAGTATAGATTTGCTTGAATGCACCCTTAATACATCATTGTAAATGCATAGAACCACAAGTAGTGGGTAAACATGTCTCTGCAGGAAAACCCGGTTTCAACAAATGAACAATTGGGATCTAGTAGATTCTTAAGGTCTGTGGCATGCAAAAACTCAAACCCTGCCAGTAATGATTAGTGGTATTTTAACAGAATGAGTAGATTGGACGATACTTTTGATTGTGTCCACAAATGCTTAATTCCTGCCATCACTTGCAGGGCAAAAAAGCAACAACCCTCTGTCTCCAGATTATGTACCCTCTATTTTTGCGTACACCCCAACTGCTGAAAGAAAAGCCAAAAAAAGAGAAGCAGGAGACAGCGAGGAACCTACAAAGAAGAGTCGCACCAAATCTAATCAAGTACGGGAAATGCATCAGATATAAAAGTTTGATTTAAAATCGTCGCTATAAAGTTATAAAAAATGTCTAACTGCTGGTGTTACGTTTCAGACTGAAATAATAAGTGCTGCAACTGCACTACTGGATCTCTCTGGGACTGGGCCAAACAGTGGGACAGCAGATGACGTTGACCTGTATGAAGAAGAGGTTGGTCAAGCAGATCTGCGTGGGGAAGAGGAAGAAGAAACGGGAGTGGAAGTTCAGACTAACATGAGCGGTGAAGATATTGACAGTTTGTCATCCGCAGTTCAAAAGTTGACTTCAGACAAAGAACTGCTGACTGATCAGCTAAAGGTCATGGACCTCTCTGAGGAATCGTTTAAAGATAATGATGAAAAAACTAAGGTTTACACAGGTTTACCGACATTTGTCTCATTAATGGCCGTCATGGATTTGATCATGCCTTGTTTACGGAAACCAAACTCGGCCTTATCGCCGTTTCACAAATGCTTATTGACATTAATGAAGCTAAGACTTAATGTCAGTATGCTATATCTATCATATGTTTTCAGAGTTCACTACAGCACAGTTGCAAAAACGTTTTCTGACGTGATCACCTTTTTAAATATCAAATTAGTTCCTTCTACTGTATTTTGGCCAGAACGAGATCAGGTAAGAAGTACAATGCCCCAACTTTTTAAAGCTACGTATCCCGATTGTGTTTCGATACTGGACTGTTTTGAGGTATTGACAGAAGGACCGTCATACCTTGAAACCAAAACCATAAACAGTTCACACTACAAAAGTCACAATACAATGAAGTATTTAATTTCAGTGACGCCACAAGGTTTCATTAATTTTATATCCAAAGGATGGGCTGGCCGTACGTCCGATCGGCTGGTGACGGAGAGCTGCGGCTACCTGAACAATCTTGCTCCAGGAGATGCTGTTCTAGCAAACAAAGGGTTTAGTATTGAAGATATCGTTGCTCTGCGTGGCGCAAAGTTGGTAGTTCCTGTCATCACAAAAGGTGTCAAACAGCTGCCGCACGGGGAAATCACAGAAGGCAAAAAACTTTTATCAGTTAGAATAAATATGGACCGAGCCCTGGGCAACCTAAAGCAAAAATACCCAATTTTACAGAGCACCTTTCCTATCAAGTTTTTGCTCACTGATCAAGCGGCAAAGATGTCGACGCTTGACAAAATTATGAGAGTCACTTGTGGTCTCTGCAATATATGTGACTCTGTGATGCCATGTAATTAGACTGACCTCAGAAACTCTTCCAAGTGGGTAGATTTTCCGAGTTGGTACTTGGCAAAGGATTCTTTAGGCATGCCACATCTCAGTGATCCCTGCATCACAGTGATGTGAACATGCCTGTCGAGTTCTGGACTTGAGCATACGGGAAATGTCGCCAGACTGACGTAAGAGCGTATTATGATTTAAGGCAGGGGTCCCCAAACTTTTTCCTGTGAGGGCCACATAACTTTTCCCTTCTCTGGTGGGGGGCCGAAGTCAGTTTGTAACAGAAAAAGTGTGACAATTGCAGGTGTGCCTAAATGTAAAAAAAATTATTGTTTTCCAGAAAGCACAATCAAATAACCCTCTCTGGGTTCTTCACAGAAAAAATCCAGGAAATAACCCTATTTATGAAATAAATATTTTCTGGACTATAAGCCGTGCCGGGCTGTAAGCCGCAGATATCTCTGCCGGTCCAGGTTTTCCACAACGATGTAGCAGCAGCAGCAGAGGGGGGCGGACACCCAAAATTTGAGTCATATCAGGTCAATTGAATATCACATTTATTACAGTTGAAAAAGAAAAAGTTGCCAAGTTTAGATTTAACAGAACTGATTACGGTAGTTTTCGAACGGTAACTGTAACAGTAAAAGTGCTGATCCTTCGTGTCTGCTACTAGCATGTGCTAAATGAAAATGGGCGCTTTCTTATTATTCTTCTTTAGATTTCAACAGCAGCTTGCATCCATTATTGTTGCACTACTGCCATCTGTTGGATCCTAATATCTATGTCTCAAATTCTAATAATGATCCCAGTATTATTTAAAAAAAGCTAAAAATCTTCTTTTCCCTCTCAGTGCTATTTAACTGATCAACAACATTCTTAAAAATCTAATTCCGTTTTAATGGGAGCTTTCTTCTTTTATTTACAATTTTGACTTCCAATGATTCACTTCCTGCTAAAGAGCCCCCTGGTGGTTGAAGAAAACTCTTCATATAAGCCACACTGGGCTATAAGCTGCAAGGTTCACAGCTTAGGGGAAAAGTAGCGGCTTATAGTCCGGAAAATACTGTATATGAAAAAAAAATCTAAATGCTCTCTGGTATTGTTCAGACCAAATGTGGATCCGGCCCGCGGGCCATAGTTTGGGGACCACTGATTTAAGGGAAAATAATACGGGAGCACGGCAGAAAAGGGGGATAAAAACTCTAGTGTCTTGGCCAAAATGGGAGACTTGACAGCTGTGGATGTGAACATATTCAGACACCTTGAATTTTTTTCACGTTTAAATCAAGTTGGCACCACAAATATTGATTTATGTCAGTGTTTTTTTTCTTTCCTTTGTACTGAGGCGACAATGGATCAGGAGGTAGGAGTTTGGTTGTAACCGATAGGACGCAGTTTCAAATCCCTGCTCTATTCGTCACGGCCATCTTCTGTAGCTACCACGTAGCTCACCACCTCCAGAGAGTGACTGAATGTTGTGTGAAGCGTTTTGTGGTCTTCTGGATTAGGTAAAGTGCTATACAATTATGCGTCATTTACCATTCAATCTTTGGAGCTTGCACTGTGCTCAGGTCACAGCCAATAAAGACGGGATATCTTAAGCAGCTGGTCGTTGTGGATACAGATCATGTGAAGCATCATTATTTTTCTCCCTTGTTTTCTGCTTTACCCTCTTTCTCACCATTCCAGGTTTTTTTTAGGTCTATTCCTGATTGAGGCTCATATTTAAAAAAAAAAAAAAATTGTGCCTGTTTTATCCTGCACCTTGTTGTTAATGAACAGAGCACAGTTCCCTGTGTTTTTCTTTTCAGGGTTGTTTACAGTAAATGCCTCATTCTGCTTGAAAGCAAACATAGTCTCTGTTTTTATCGGTTGGATCATCCGCGTTTGCAAAACTTGGACAATTTTCTCCTCACTTAAGAATCAGAGTCAGCTTTATTGTCCAGGATTGTGTGCAGACACAAGTAATTTGTATTTTTTGAAGGCTATGTTATATCCCACTGAGGCCTGAACAATTTAGTGATATAAAACATTATGCCTGTTTACTTGGAATTATTTTACTTTCTTTGACTTTATTAATGTAGGTTTGGAGCTTGAGTACTGCATTAAAAATGTAGAATTTTCCCATTTTTTTCATGTATGCAAATAAACTGTATTTTTAACATTCTTTTAAACTTGCAGGCCTATTGCTCTATCAGTGGATCATCTTAATTGTGCTCTGCTTCCGTAAATATAAATCTTATTTGTATTTGATCTCGGATTCATTGCTTTGAGAAGTTAAACTTTTTTGTTGTCTTAGCTGAAATTGGAAAAAAAAAAGAGTTAATTTTACCTATTGCTCAGTGTTCGGTTCTATATTTAAATCATACTTAGGAGCCATATTTAATCAGAGTAGTAAGATCTTTCAAACATTTGGACATTCAAAGCTCAGTAGTGGCAGCGTTAATCTATGCAGCTACAACAGAGCTGAGAAAACCCTTCATCATTTTTAATTGAGTAAAGTTCCTCTCTGAACTTTACTCTGGTTTAGCTCGAAGCTAGACCGTCAGTAGTATCTTTTTTTTATTTTACTGATAAAAGTTTAAGTTTATATGTGAATATATGTGTGCTGGATATTATTGCCAGCTCAGAAATGTGTAGACTTGAGCAGAATGCCTCTTCTGTTTTAATAACTTACTATTTTTAAGCCATGTTCCCATCTAGCAATGTTATTTTAATTTTTATTAAAATTCTAAAAAGGGAACCTTATTATTTCTTCTAGATATCAATAAAATGCAAACTAAGATTTTTAGTGGTTTGGAGTGCTTGATAAGTAATAGCTAAGATAAGTAGGAGAGCTCAGTGTGGGGGGGTGTCTAGTCTGCAGGGCCCTACTCGCTGACTGATGAGGTTATATATGGCAAAGGCACTATTTTGGGAAAGGTGGAGTTCTAGGAATTATGTAGTCTGGCAGATGGGAGCTTCCTGCTACGTAAAGCAGCTATGTAATACTATGATTCAGCAGGGGTAGCTTGTAAACAGAAAACCTGTTTACTGCTTACAAGCTCATACTCTATACTCGTAGGCCTTAAGCACGGCTTTCATTAAAAACTATCCTCAGGAATTACAACCAACGGGAGCCCAGAGGAGCTGTGCCACAGGGGCTGCAAACATTCCTCATACTGCCATGGGAGACGCTTTCCATTTAACAGCTTCTGTTCTGTTAGAGAAAAGGCGGAGCTCCGTCCTGTCATTTGGTTCTATGGCAAGGTGTTTTATAATTTAACACCAAAAAGATTTCAACTATCTAAAATGTAAAAGGGAAAACAAAAAACAAAAAAAAAACAGCAAGACAGATAACGTAAATTTTCTCGTTTAACAACACTTTTGAATTATATTAATCATACTATATGATTTTATATTTGAAATCTAAAACTTAATTTAAATGTTGTATTTAAATAGAAATGTAAGGACATCCTGTCGTAAGCAACCAAGCAGCATTTTCAGAGTATTTCCACGTATTTGGAACGATAACGAGAAGCAGTTTATTTCAGAATACAAAAAGTAAATACAAATGTATTGGCTGCCACATCAGAATAGGCTGGACTCATTGACCACAAGGAGAGCACCAAAATCCTTAAGATCAACTCTAGTAACGACCTCTGGAGGACGCACAATCTTTCATCTACCTGGACAGCATCACAGACCAGCAAGGTGGAACCGGTGCAGATGTCAAGGGAAGGGCTGGAAAATCAAGAGTGACATTCATCCAGCTTACAAACATCTGAGCATTTTTATGGATTTTGTGTGGGTTTTTTTTTTTTTTTTTCAGCTTGCATAATCATGTTTATGTGTGACTGCCGCCAGGCATACATAAACAGACTGAAACTGATTAGACTAGCCTTTAGGGAGAGTACAGATTGCAGAGAATAATAAAACAATCTTTGTGTCACTTGGTTGCATCCTTAAGGTGTCCAGTGCTGAACGGTGTGAATGTCACGCTGTATCTGTTCTATTTGCATGGCATACATGGCTTGTAACATCTGATCATTTTTCGGCAGTAAAGCCTGTTATATAGCCAAATCTCATTATTTCTCAAGGTAATTTACACTAAGGGGTTCTGGTCAAGTCTCGAAACTTGACCAGAGCATCCTTGACCAGAGCAAACTTGAATGAACTCCAAGAGCATCCAAAGAGCTGACTGTTCATTTCCAAAGTGAAACCTGGAGGACCAAACAAAACCTCAAATAGAACAACCTCGACACATCAGGAACTACAAATTGAAGAGGTACTGGCAAATATGGAGGACGTTGTTTGACCGTGTGTCAGGGCCATACTAATAAAAAATGAGACTAAACTCTGTTACAAGAATGAAGTTGTACAAGAATAAAGTTATATTTTGTGAAAATAATATCACAACATTACAGTCAATATCATGAGAATAAAGCCACAATATCGCGAGAATAAAAACTAAATGCAAAAAGTCATATTTTGAGAAAAAAAGTCATAACTTTACAAAAAAATAAAGCAGTTATGACTATTCTCGTACAACATTACTCTCGTAATATTATGACTATATTATTATTATTATTATTATTATTATTATTATTATTACATTTTATTAGTGTGGCCCTAATTTGACCTTAAAAAAAGTTAATTTGGTGCCCTTTTGAATATATGTAACAACGGTCTGCCATACCCCCACCCGCTTCCCCAGCACATGGGACGGCTGGGAGGCGCTTCAGCGCGCCCAGCCGCTCCGCCTCCAAGGCGTTTGGGAAGAAAGGATCACAATCAAGGGACTGTTCTTGAAGACGATTTACCAGCATCAATGTATTGATCGTCTGCACGGCACTGATAACAACCTCACAAGTCCGCGCGCTGTAGGATTTCAGGATCTAGATGGTGTAAACGCGCCGCGATCTGTGCACTCTGGAGGGACGTTCAGCGCGTCAGAAAATCAAGTTCTACCAAACGCCTTGTGTTTACACAGGAACCATCCAAAGCCACGTTTTAGCAGGCAATCTTCAACGAAGTGCAGCGCACAGTGCAGAAAACTTTTAGCTGTTTACCTCAGCAGAGGAGTGGAGCAGTGAATCAGACTGCACTATGCGATTACTTTAAATCCCTCGAGGTAAACAAAAGAAAAGAAAAGAAAAAGTGCATCGGATACACTTTTGACATTTGGATAACATGGAGAATTGCAGCTGAGCGAGCACATGTCGTGCACGTAGCAGAGCCCCGTTGTTGTTGTTGCAAGAGCATAGAGTGTGGATGTGAACATGGAAATTGCTACAAAGTAAACCCGACGTCGTGTGCACTGGGCTTGCAGGGAATGGTCCATCGGGGATATTTTTTTGGAAAGTGTTTTTAGTTCCCCCGTCGCTGTCTCGCTAGTTTTGGACGGAAGAGTCTGCTGGGTCGACATGGAGAGCCAGGAGGAGAAGGAGAGCAGGACGGACAAGCGCTTCGCCCTGACTTACGTCGGCTGGTGCTCGCTGGACAGGCGGACCACTCTGCCCATGCTGCCGTGGCTGGTGGCCGAGATCCGCAGGAGGAGCGAGAGGGGCGACTGCGGCCCCGTCATGCAGCCCAGAGAAGTTCAGCTGCTGCTCAACCCCCCCTTCGTCCGCTGCGTCCCCACAAACAGCAGCAACTCGTCGGTCTTCATCTTCGAGCACAAAGCTCAGCTGATCTCGCGCTTCATCCACAACAGCAATGACCTCACTTGTTTTTCCTATCTGCTGCGGGGCCAGCCGGACAACCCGGAGTCCGAGATGTCCTGTCACGTCTTCAAGGCCTGCGACCCGAACCAGGTAGGCGTGCTGAAGTATAGGCACACAAGCCAGTGGCGATCCTTGCACGAATGACGCCCTGGGCGAGCCACTCCATGTGCAACCCCCATTTTTTTCATCCTTTGGTGATTAAATACACCCGATTTTAATCGGGTGTATTTAATATGTAGAACTAATTTAGACACGAGTCAATGTTGTGTTCCAGTAATACATAAATATTTAATCTATGTGTACACCAATGAGCTAGTTCATTCTGAATTGCCACCGCTATTAGCGTTCAAGACAACTGGTGAAATCTGGGAGGGGATATTCCAGGTGTTTAATTGACTGAGGTTAAAAACAATCACTAAGTAGTGGCTTAGTTTGCTTATGCCTTGGGCCAGGTCTGCCTGTAGTTAAATTTTTCCCATGTGTCTCCTTCAGAAACATAATCATCATCAAACAACAGAAAAAGTCTCCAGAAATTCTGAAAAGTACAAATGAAAATTATAATCATATAAATGTTTGGAAAAAATGTTAGTATTTACAGGTAAGTACTGATAAATAACTGTAATGATGATCGAATGTTGTACTTTACTTAATGGAAACGGCACATGATAGTAGAGGCTGTAGACTGATTAGGTATTACAAGATAAAGTGCATAAAGTGTAGTTTGTGTTTCCAAAAGTAAGATGTCAATTTTTACAGCAGCTATTATCTATAATCTGCAGTCAAACACTCTACTCTCTTAAAAAGTCGAGTTTATTAAAAAAAAAAAATATTTTTTTCATAATTCATAATTTTCCAAACATAAGACAAGGAAGTGGGGATTACCATGGAGCGACAGACTTTGCCTTTTAATCTCACATAAACACAGTATTATTTTAGCCTTTACTCCAGACCTGTTTATCTTACTATTAAGTATTTAGGCCACTGGTTGGAGGGGATAATATTTGGCAGTTAATCCGTTCACTGTCCTTTTTCTGTTTAGGAATCTCATTAAAGTCAAACTAAAGTGACATAAGATAAATGTGCATACACAAAGTTCTTTAAAGAATTTGCCTGGATTGCATTTTTACACAAAACAATACTTGCAGTATTTTGTCGTTTTCTTTACATTTCATAGGTGCTTTTAGATAGCTATATATATATTTGCTACAAATCAGATTGCAACCTAATAAACTTCCTACTGTTTTTGCTGACAGATCCTCACTGTGACCCTTCACAATCCTGAGATGCATAGTTTTTTCAACTCCTTCTGGGTTATTGATGTCAATTGATAGTAACTGGGAAGCATTGTATCAATAATTGATAGTAATTGAGCAATAAAATACATATGTCTGAGAAAAGTGTGGGCATGGTGATGCATATAAAACTGTTTTGCTAGACGCACAGAATTCAGACATTACAGCTCTCACTTCTCATTTTGGGATGACTTCATGTGATGCAAAACTCACTTGTAGGTCAGCTGTTTTTTTAAGCTTAACTGTATTTTGGGTGTTAAGTTAGTGCTTATTGTGGCACTTAAGAATTCATATCCCTTGATGTTTGTTTGTTTTTTTTTTTGCCGCATTTCGAGTTTTAATGAAATGTTACGTGGTAGACCAACTAGTGCATAATAAGAAGGTGGAAGAAAAATGTCAGTTTTCAAAGCATATACATTGAAAGGCCATTTTAAATGTCTTGACTGCATTTAGGTCTGCACTTTGACTTTGTCTGCACTTTTGGGTCAATCTGACACATAAATAAGCTTCGCTCTAAACCATTCCAGTGTAGCTTTTGCTGTGTATCTAGGATTTTTTTAAAAAAATATTTAGGTGAACTTCTATCAAGAAATCTCTGATTTGTTTTCTCCAAGGAGACAAATCAGCAGCTATTTCCCTCCATCTTCCCATCAACTCTAACCAGATTTTTTTTTTGTCCCCACCACCATAGTTCACAGGAGGTGTGTGATGTTTGCTTCAGTGGTTTGCTTGTACAGCCAAAAAGTTTAATTTAGGTGTCATCTGACCAGAGTGGCTTCTTCCACATATTTGCTTGCCTTCTACACCACTTCCAGCAATGTTTGCCTGCAAGCTGGATTTTTATGACTTTCTTGATTAAGGAATTGCTTTTCTCTTGACACTCTTTCTTAAAGGTCATGTTTGTGGGATGGACAGCTAGAACATGTCCTGGCAACAGATTCTCCCACCTGAGCTGTAAATCTCTATAACTCCTCCAGAGTTACCTTGAGTCTCTTACCCGTTTTTATTTGCATTTATGCTGATGTTAAATTATACCTATTGCTAATTATTTGAACAGAACTACATTGCAAAGATGTAGAAATACATCTTAGCAATGCAAATTGTACAAATGCAAATTTTTACTTTACATGATTTTCCTTATAACTCCCAGTTATGTGACAGTTTGGTGTTTAGTCCCAATGAAACACATTGAAGCTCTCTGCATGTGGTATTTGTTGCAGATGTCAGCATCCCATCACTTCTCTTAAAGTAACTCTTTGTTGTTAGTTTGTGTTTTCCAAATTGGAGCTGTCACAATCGATGCAGATGAGACATTTCTCCTGAAATCTGAACAGGCACAATATTGAGTCAGCACATTTACATGCTGATCAGCATGCCAGTCTTGAGTAATAAACTGAAATGTTGAAAACATTACAAAAACCAGGAACGTGGGAGTTGGTGTTTTAAAAAACCAATGTGCCGTCTTGCTCTCTTATCGGCGCTGGAAGGCCTCACCGTGTGGTTCAGTCACCCAAGCAGCATGTTGGGGTTTTTGCCTGACTGTAGATTAGCTGTAAAAATGATTTTTTTTTTAAATCACAAGCTTAATGAGCAATTTGCTAATTTGTTTGTGCACATCTAAACATCAGGATGTGCACATACGATTCCTTCCCAGCCTGCAACCCATTCTGAAGCTTCACACTCGCTCGTGTTTGTCTTGTTTCCCCAGTGACCCGGGGAAACACTCACAAATAATGTTCAGAAACGGATATGCTCGGGTTTTGCGCTTATGTCAAGTGCGCCTGTGTTGTATCATGTTTCCAGTGGTATTTGGAGGGCCCGAGCACAGAGTCTGTTTTGCGCTCTAAAATAAGAGTAGAAGTCCTTTGCGGCCTCTCAGCTGAAGTCTACAGTTGGAGAGTCGTCGTAAACATCCCTCAGTCACTATTAGTATGCAACAAAAACTGGTCTGGCCGCGTGCAACATATGAAAGGTGGACTACGTGTGATGGTCGGGTTTTTCTGCCCATATGCCACCGTCACGCACAACGCCCTGCTGTGACTGTATTGTTACTGATTCGATTATCTGCCAGGTGTATCCTCTGTTTATTCAGAACCAGCTTCTTGTGCTTTCGGAAAGCTCCCGTTTGTCTCGGAAAAGTTCAAAGAAACAATGAAATATTGCTGCAGACTTTTAGCTGACAGAGTGGTAGCTGCTTCCAAATCTATTCTTAGCTGAGGACATGATGGGAACTCATTGTGTAAAGCCAGAGTCGGGAGTCCTTGCATGCATTAAATTGAAGGGAAAGGTTAAATAAAATAGGGAGAGGCCAGGCCTCCTGCACGGCCTGTGGCAAACTGCAAATCTGATTTTGCATGCGTACAGAAAAAGTTAAACATTCGGATATGGCGTGAAAGCACGTTCTGTCTCTACACTTGGCTGGTCACGTGTCAAATCAGGTTTGACTTGAATTTCAACTTTAGCCCTCGTGTATAAAGTAAGAGTTTATGTCCAATCATAAAATATTACATTTGAGGTGTGTTTCTTTAAGAGTTTTCTCAGATTAACATCATAGTCAGAGTAGGACATTCCACTGAGTTTAACCTTTCACCTCCTCAGAATCTCTGAGATTTAGTGTGGAGCTCGAAGCCACAGTTACAAATCTAACTTTGACCCTGTAATAGCATGGTCCTGTTATTAAGCCAACAGTAGAGAACTTGAGCCTGCCCATCACATAAACCACAAGCTCCTCTGCTTTTTACGTTGCGATCTGAAGTGGATTGGGACCACTGGAAACTGTATTCTCCTGTGATATCCAGACAAAACGCAGGTGGATCTGAACCGTACCACGTGCCGTTGCGCATAAGAAACACTCATGTGTTTTGCCACTGCATTGGCGAGTCGTATTTCACTGTTGATTACAGGTTGAACTCCGCCACTTCCTTTGCTTTAAACTAAGAGGTGGAGAGCAGCAGATTGTTATAACCGGCATGCTGCCTCTGTTTGAGAGGTGAAGATTCAGAAGGGCATCACCCTACGTCGGCTTGTGTCGCTTTTCAGGTGTTGTAGTCATTAACGGGCATGGCAACGATTCTGTTGTGAAGTCAGATCAGAATAATTTATACAGTGCCTGTCAAAAGTGTGCAAACCCCTCTTAAAGTGGCAGGTTTTTGTAATGTCAAAACTGGGACTTCAATCACAAACACTAAACATAATTACAGTTTAGCAGAGAACCGACAAATGGAGAAATAAAATGTCTCCCTATTAATTTTGTTGAACTCTCACCGTTTTCTGCTTTTTGTCCACTGATATTTAAGAATGACAATTCATCCAGATTTTTATTTCTCCAGGAGGTGCGTGTAGTCTACCTAACTACTTGGATTCATTAGCATTTATGGATAAAAATATCAGAATATCATCGGCATAAAGAGCTCAAGTCCATTATCTGAAACCATGAAAATATTATTAGTAGATTTCACTAATGCTGCTTCAGTGCTGTGATGAACTCTGAAGCCCGACTGAAGCGCTTCACGCAGGTCGTCGTGGGGGTCATCACTGAACTTTATTTTAGGTAAATCACATTAACTGTAACGGAGGCAAAACTGAATGCTGAAGCGGAATCAAAAGCATTGTAGCAGTTTTTGTGACATATTAAAAACCCAGATTTTCACAACAGTTAAACTTTTATTAATAGACCAAAATAGATAAAAAGGGCCAACGCTCACAATTACAGTTCGGTTTTTTATTGAGACAATAACTGACGCACACACGATGATTCATTTGGACATTAGTCACTTAAATTATTCCAATACAGTAGTCTTTTATCCATTTTTAAATCACTATCGATCAGAACAAGTAGTTTCTTTGTCTAATTTTCTTAACTGAATTTAGTTGTGCATTTTGTTCCTATAAGTGTTTCCATAGGGTTAGAAAATGAAGGCGATAGCTGTCTGTCGCAATATTTAACTCCTAATATTTATACAGCTACATTAGTTGATGACAAAAAAACGGCTTTGTTTTACACCCATCTTTGTGGATTATGTTGTAATCTTCCACCTCCTGCTAAGGTGACATAAGGGCCTTTCTGTTTTATGTTGGGACATGAATGTTGTTAAATTCGGCTGCCCAGTTTGTCTTCTTGGATAACCTTTGACATTTCACACAAAGTCTTCAGTTTTATGGATTCAGGAAAGAGGAGTTTAAAAGTAATCTGACCAGCTCTTATCCAACATAAACACTTCACCTAGTTGAATTATCCATTAAAAATACCAAATTCAAACCGGGAGTGTTTAGAATACTGTTTTAGATGTTACAATAAAAAAGCAAAACAAACAAACAAAATAAAAAACACTAGTTTGACTGAATTATGTTGTCACCAGACAATTTGGAAAGTGCAAATCATCTTAAAAATGTAATCATTGCTGCTCTTCTGGATAAACCAAAACATTTCTGGAAGAATTTGCCTTGAAGACATTTGATCATCACTATCAGCACTACGTATTGAAAACAAGACACACTATGTGAACACAGACACCTTTACCAACTGTCAAACAAGGAGCTGAAGACCAGAGGATTTGGGTTTGTTTTGCAGCCAGAGAGCCAGAGGTCTTTGCCTCTGGTGATCGAATCAACCACAAACTCCTCTGTCGATTGAATTATTTGGGAGTCAGACGTGAGGCAACTGCTGAAGTTTCACTGAAACAGAACAATGGCCTCAAGCACAGCAGCAAGTCTGCAACAGAAAACATATTTAGCCCCATTCAGCACTTTTTCATTGAGCAGACATGGAGAGCTCTATGTTGCCTTCTGCTTGTAAAAATGTGAAACTGTGGCTGAAAGTGAGAGGTGAATTGACCTTCGCATAAAGATGTCCACTGATGTCTAACTGTGGTGTTTGAAAGCTTGCTGGGGTTAATGAAATGAGTTAACCAACCTTGACTATTACCTTGGTAAACATGACAGGGTCCATGGACTCAAAACATAACATATTTTCAGCAGTAAAGATGAGCGCTGTCTGACAAAATTCTGTAAAAAAAAACAAAAAAATGGCCTTTGTTTGGAGAAAATGTTGATGCTCCTTCGCCAGCTGAAACAACAGTGAGAAATATGGGGAACAAACAAAGTCTTGGAAAATTGGATTATTTCAGGTCATGGTTAATAAAGGATCTCCTTCAAGCTAGTGAATGCATTGGTTCTGCAATTAGACCTGGTGTTTATTGAATAAAGCATGGCATGATGTAGTGTTTTATGTTTGCAGCTCGGTTGTAAAATATGCAAAGAACCATGTTTTATTTTTTTCTTCTTATTTTTTTTTAGTTTGGTTAGCTTTTATTGCTCATTTTGAACTGCTGATTGAATGTCTATTCTTGAGATCGAGAAGTACATCTGCAGAATAGGAAACAGTTTAGTCTTTCTTTGTGACATGAAGGTTGCAGCCTTGGCTCCCTTTAAATATACACAAAACTTAAAAAAAAAATACAAGTTCCTTAATTATCCTGGATCTTAAATACAGTTGAAAATAGATACATTTTTATTCCCAGTTTTAACAAGGACATATTTTTTTAAACGTTGAGGAGACAGAAAGTCCGAGTGTCTACTTTTTTTTTTCATGCATATTGTGTATCAGCCCAGTGGTAACCCATATTTTTATAAGAAATCCAACTTGGCTTGCCTGCAGAAACCATGGATCAGTGCGTAAATGATCTCATATTATTACGACTGACTGTGGGGAGGTCATAGTATTTCACCCCGCAATCCATCAGCTCACGTAATGTTTGCTTTTCTCCTGGACTATAAAAGCCGAGCTTCACTGCTGGCATTTATGTTGACAGTCCTTGCTCACACCCAACACTGCTGTTATGGTTCCACAGATCCAGGCAGAAATGGGTGAAAGTTAAATCAGCTTGACAATGAGTTATTGTAGGGCTTACGTTTCAACCGATTTTAAATGGGGAGGGGAAAAGCCAATTCTATCTTGGTCGCTTTCCTTCTACCTGGAACAAGCTGCTTTACAGACTCTATTTTGGGTAGGTTATAAATAATTGATAAGCCCAAATGGTGCTATGGCGTCATCTTACTCATGCATAGTGAATCACTTTCTTAAAATCTTAAAATGGTCCAGTCATGTTCCCCTCGGGGTTTGCGGAGACAGCGCTGCTTTGATTGAAGCGAGGTCTTTGAATCGATCGGATCCAGAGGTGTCTGCTGTCCGGTCTGCCAGACCAAAGGTTGCCATCTTCATTTCGTGTCTGCTTTTTTTTTCTTTTCCACCATTGGTGACCCGTGTCAGGAAATTAGCTTCTTCGGCCATTACTTCAGAATTATTACAAAGCGGCTTTGCAATCCGCTAGAAAGATAATTACAGATTTCTTTTGAGAAGATCACTCAGCAAGCATGTCCGTCCATCCTTAATTTTCTTCCCACTTTCAATATCTTGTCACCAGCTTGGCACGGATCAGCTTTCGAATTTTTTAACAGTTGCAGCCGGATGTAAGGCACAAACTCCCTTTCCCTTCCTTGCAGGAACATTACAAGAAATCTTGTCAGGATTTCTTGATGCCCTAATAGGAAGTCGGTCAAATGTTTTGCAGGATGTTTTTGTTTCAATCCCAACCATCCTCTTCCTGTTTTCCTTCCATTTCACTGTGATGCGTCTTCTTCCACTAGTCTCGCCTCTAATGTGTTGTAATACATTTGCAGAGTACACGAATCCACTGTCTTAGCTCTCAACATTGTATATTCGTTTTGTATTTGGTCAGTTTTCTCTTGATCTTGTATACATATGAAGCAAAACAAATGTCTCTTACGTTTCCAGACATTCCTTATGAATTTCTCTTACAAAATGTATGGCTATTGTTTTTGGGTGTTTTTTTCTCCTGTATGAATGTTACCAGGCTGCACCGAGTGTATTGATAGCACAGGCTCTTCCTCCAACACACTGCTGCACAAACAGGCTCACCTTCAGATCTCTGGTTTCTTCCAGCCCTATGTTTCGTCTTCAGTCCAGTAACGTATTGATTTTTCCATGACTCCTTGCACATTTCTTCTGGAGTTCAGTCTGTTTGTTTGAGCCTTGCTTTCCACTAAGGCCTTAGCATTTTTTTTTATTTTATTTTATTTTTTTTATTGTGAAACATGAAGTTGGGTCGTGTTTGTTATGCAGAATAATGTATAAAGTCAGGAAATGTCTTCTAAACATAGTTTTAGTGATTCACATTGACTTTGGTTTGTGTTTTATTCAGTAGAGAAAATATATGAATATAATTTCCCTATTTTTCATACAAGTGATCATCCAACGAAAGCAATTTTTTTAGGCTTTGTTTAACTGCATTTTCAAACCTTTTTGCAGTGCGTTGGAAAGACATTTGTGTCTCTCGAATTTTTTATGTTTCAACCACAATTTTTATTCCTATTTCCTTGTGATTTTATGAACTTTAATTTTATTTTTGAAGGTCTCCTCAGTTATTATCTGCTCTCATTCCACTGTATTTACTCACAGGTCCCAGAGGTAATCAGCAGCATTCGTCAAGTTTCCAAATCGGCTCTGAAGGAAGATGCCAAACCCAAACAGGAAGCCGACGAGGCGTTCTACAACTCCCAGAAGTTTGAAGTGCTTTACTGTGGCAAGGTAGTTCCCTGAAAAAAAACCCCCCAAACAAACAAAAAAACAAAACAGACGTACATTTTCATGTTTCATGTACTTCGGGTGAAAGTTGTCCATCTTTTCGATTTAAAAATCCAGGTTACTGTGGGCCACAAGAAAGCTTCGTCGACCCTCATTGATGACTGCGTGGAAAAATTTCGCCAACACGAGACTGAACGTAAGCGCCTGCGACTTCTCAACGGTCAGCGAGGGTCCACAGAAACCATCCCCGTGGATTTACTCATCGCTGGAGATGGAGACCCGCTTTCCACTGCCCTTAGCAGAACCACGGAGGAACCGGAAGCTCCAGGACTAGAAGACCTGGTCACAGGTGAAGGAAAAAAACAAACAAACAAAAGTTCAGTACTGACAACCTCTGCAAATCACATGTTTAAGAGAGAACTCAAAATGGGTTTGAAGTGGGATTCTGTAGGGTAGTTGTGAGATGGCAGTAACTTCACTGCAGCATGAAGTCAGTCAGACTCAGATTAGAGTCACTGTGTTTTCAATCAAAGACGCCAAAAGCTCTAGCGCTCATGTGCACACATTCATTTTATACTTCTGCTAGGAAATACGTTTATCTCAAACAATTTCTCTGATTAATCATGCTGAACATTTTCCATCTAGTTTACCACCTGTATCTGGTCATGTGAGTCATTATAATTAACAGCCGCAGGCCGACGTGATGCCGGTGCTTTTCAGTTTTTAGTTTTGAGCTGAAATCTCGTTACGTAAACAAATAAATGTTTGCGTCAGTAAAATTCAATCCGTGCAGATGAAGCTCACATTTGAGGATGAACTCCTGTGGGGACTGTTTTTGATGTGGAGTGGCATTATCTTTTTCAGTTGTGGCTTTTGCTGTTTGGGAGGAGAACTGCAGCGAATTGGGACAAAAATAAACAGAGGAAGAGATTTTAAGACCATCAGTTTGGTCAGTTTGTTTTATTCTGAACATGTATAAACAATCGGCAAGAATTACCTTATGGTGTAGGATGTGGAGTAATCTCATGTTTTCAGGATCCACAGTGTTTGCTGCCAGTATGTTTAGATGATCTTACTCTCATTTTGTGCCGCAGAAGTAATTGGTTAATTAACCAGTGGAGTTCGAAAACACTCCACTCATTTTCACTTTTAAAGAAACAGAAGATGGGACTGATAAAGAGAATCTAATAAAGTACTCAAGTTGAAAACGCAGCACTTACACAGTCTGAGTGATGTTTGCATTAAAAAAAAAAAAAGTTGCTGAGCACTTATCGTCAAATCAAGGCCAGAAGTTCCCATGCTAAAACAAATACTCTAGCGGAAAAGAAACGTGTTCAAACACAGTGAAACCTGTCTGATTGGTTGCACATCAAGCCGTTCTTTGTAACAAGAAAGAAAAAAAATGCCCAAGAGTAATATCTAAAAGCTAAAGAAAAACCTCTTCTTAATCTAAGTAATATGTCAAGTTGAAGTTTTTTCTTTATCTGGTCCAGGTAAATGTCTGCCCAGCAGTGCCAGTCAGAGCAGTCTGCGAGGATCCTTCCCCGAGTGCATCTTGGAGGACTCTGACTTTGAGGAACCTCAGGAGTTTCGCACGCGCTGCAGCAGCCTGGCTGGAAGCCTGCAGAGGAAGCCAGGGGAGGGAGTCATCATGGGTCCCACGCGTCGCAGACACGCCAGCGCGCCGAACAACGTCCAGCCGTCCGATTCCGACAAGAACCGCACCATGCTGTTCCAGGTAAAGGACACAAAAATCGAACAGAAGTTGCTTTGATTTGAATGATCTGTAAAAAAATAATGCATCTTTGCAGAACAAACAAACAAAAAAGAAGTATGTTGCTTGCAGTGTCCGTTCTTTGCGGATGCGTGTCTTGGAATTTGTCTTAGAGCCCACCTGCGTCTCGTCATCGAATCTCTCTGCATTCAGGCTGCTCGGCCTCACTCTACCGCCAAATCATTTCCACGCTCACGCGCCAGGCAGGTGTAGCGTACAGACTTGCCACTGTTCTCAGCAACATTTCTGCTCCTGCTGGAGTCGGAGGCCGTAACTCCCGTCTGAAATCGCTGCTCCTGTGTAAACTCAAAGGAATGTTTTCTTTATTGAAAACATGTGGGGCTGCAGCGCAAGCCAGCTGCCGTTTCTCAAACGCCATGCCCATTTCCTCATGAGGCTAATTTTAAAAACTAGAGCACGGCGCTCAATATGATACTCCACACAGCGGTCAATTATTGGAAAAACCCATTGGCCGGCTGCATCGTTGGCCTTGATTTGTAGTCGGCACGAGCGTGTTTCTGCCCATCAACAAGCAACTTAGCATCATGTGATGTTTTGATTTGGAGATCTTTTTTCATGTCCTTAAAACCATAATCAGCCAACAGAAAAATGAACTCATACCCCTGGAAGGTTGTTTTACATAAGTTTTTATGCGACAGACCGGCACAAAGGTTTGCATAGCAGTGAAGTGGAAGGAAAAATGCTACAAGGGTTTTAACATTTTTAGAAACATAAGTCACAAAACAGTGGTGTGCAGTGTCATTAATTAATATAATTTCTTTTTTGGAAGGCCATGAGCAGCAATTTCAACTTTTTTTGTGTGTAAGACAATGTTATGATTTAAAAAAAAATCAGCGACTTTGACTGCAACGTTTTGTAAAAGTCAACTAATGTTAGGTCTCAGTAATCACGGAAAATATCGCAACATTCTGGAGGGACTGGCTATTGGCAGATTAAAGCAAACTTGTACTTCAGATTGCATGCAGAATGACGTGTGTGTATGTGTGTGTGTGTGTGTGTGGTGGCAAAAATAACGTCGCATGTCACTCTGGAGGTGCCAGCCCCTTCTTGAAATATGGGGATGACAGCATTATGATGTGTGGATTCTTTAGCAGGTTGCTAAATACAGAACAACCCTGGAAGAAAACCATTTGGAGGCTGCAATAGATTAGAAAAACTGGGGGAGAGGTTCACCCTCTAGTGAGATCACAACTGTAAACATGCAGCCAGGGCTGCGATGGAGTGATTCACATCAAAGTATATTCATACTTTGATAGGATTAATAGGGAAACTTTTCATTCAGCCTGATTGAGCTTGAGCTGTTTTACAAAAGACAAATGATTCTGGATGTGCCAAGCTGGCAGATATAACCCCAAGAGACTTGGAGAGAAAGTATGAGCTCACTGGGCCATAAGGCAAAAACAGTTGTTGCAATGTTTTCCGTCCAGTTAACTTCCACGCCACGCTTTTCTGTTGGGCAATCAAAACCACAATAGATCACAGTGAAGTTAGGGCTTGAATCAACAGCGTTCGGGGGCCGTGAATACCTTTAAGTGCTTTAAACGAATCTGCATTTACATGTTTTGCACAGGTTGGGCGTTTTGAAGTGAACCTTATTAGTCCAGACAGTAAAACAGTGGTGCTGGAAAAGAACTTCAAAGATATCTCATCCTGCTGTCAGGTTGGTTCATTTTTTTTTGTCTCTCATTATTTACACTGGAAAGCCAATTTTTTTTTTTTTTTTTTTTTGCTGCACCTCCAGGTTTTGAACAGAGTAACTTAATGCAGTACGATGATCCAGGCCACAGATCAACATGGATTTTTGTATGTCATTTAAACTGACAATGAATTAACTTTTTATCTGTGAAATACTGTGGAAATGTGGCCCCTTTTTTCATATGCAAAGCTGTTTGAATACGTCGAAAGAGGCTGCTATTACTAGCTAATGGACTGCCTTGTGGTTTTGGTAATTTACTGATAAAATGGGACCATTATGCTTCACTCTGTACTGCAGTTGAGTGATTTTTAGCTTATTCAGAACATACATTTCGAAGTTGTTGTTTTTTTCTAAAATGATTTTTCTTATTCGCCTCTGTCTTCAAACAGGGCGTCAAGCAGACCGATCATTTTGGATTCATCTGCCGGGACCAGTCGGAGTCTGGTCCCAGTCAGTACGTGTGCTACGTCTTCCAGTGCGCCAACGAGTCGTTGGTGAGTTGCACGGGGGGGTGATGTCAGTGAAAATTACACCGGAGCGCAAGAGGTGAAGAGCTTGTGTTTCTGTTTATGTATCAGGTTGACGAGGTGATGCTGACCCTGAAGCAGGCCTTCTCCACCGCCGCAGCCCTGCAGAGCAACAAGACCCCGGTGCAGCTCTGCGAAGCGTGCCCCATGCACGACCTGCACAAACTCTGCGAGAGGATTGAGGGTAAGCCCCCCCTCCCAAAACCCCCCGTGATCCGAGCAGCACGCGCCCCGTCACCCCGACGCGTCCCCGACTCGTACTGATGATCCGTACGTCAATGAGTCTGTTCCTCAGAGCGCCTTTTTCTCTCTCCGCAGGTCTTTATCCACCCCGAGCGAAGCTAGCAATCCAAAAATATCTCTCCCTGTTGACCGATAATGAGCAGGCAGAGATTTTCGAGCGAGTTCAAGTAAGCGCACTCTCTCTCTCTCTCCTGTTGCCATAAGTGACACATTAATGGTTGTGGGTTGAGAGCTAGCTTCAAAGCACACCTTCTCCTAGTTGTCGTCTTTTAAGGTGTGTGTGTGTGTTTCTCCAGAGACTGAAGCCTGGGTCTGACCAAGAGGAGAATGAGTTGGCGATTATGTATCTAAGGCAGCTCTGTGAAAGCAAACAGAAATCGCATCTTCACATCGGAGAAACCCCTCAGGTATGCGCTTCACGCTGAAGAGGATCTGAAAACTGTTATGGGAGTTTTATTTAAACCAGTGAACTTTACCCTCATTTATGCTTGTTAGCAATTTCTAACATTTTGTGTTCAAGGTTACTGATGATTCGAAGAAGGCCCGGTCTTCACTTAGGTGGACTGAGTGCTTGAATGGTTTTCAATGAGTCCAGTAAGCTGTGATATTTGAGAATAACTTTATTATTTAGCATTTATATCATACACGTTTCTGTTTTTTTTCTAAATTAAAACACAGGAAAAAAATGACATATATTTAATCAAAGAACTTTTATCCCTAAACCAAACATTTCAGTCAATTTCAGTCTAACAAGTTGTGGTTTATTATATAGCATTGTATGTTTTTATGTATAATTGCTACTTTAACAACATTTCAATGTCATATTTCTCCACCATAGTCTGTTACGAGTGCTAAAGCCACAATCCCAACTAAATATTATTATCCGTTTTTTTTTTTTTGTTTTTTGTTTTTTTTCCCCCCCAAGTTGCCAAAAGTTCCCGGTGGCTAACAACCCATTTCATCCTTAGGTGCTTTTTGCATCAGTGTGTATCAGAGTAATCCACTTTGTGGTATTTTTAAGTATTTTGAATTTATTTTTTACAAAAAAATATCTTAAATCGCCCTAAATTTTTTTGCTGAACTGCATGCTGGATTAAAACCAGAAATATCAAAACTAGATGCACACACTCCAAATCAAGCTCTCTTCTTGATACCTTATGAAGCATTATCAACAACAAAGGTTTGTGTGTCAGACCTAAAGTCAGACGTAAAGCTTCATAAAGTATAGTTTGTTTTTTGATAAATTATTGAGATAATCAGGAAAATTAAATCATGAATTTTTTTATTGCATTAAAAAGAAAAAAAGATTTTGTGTGATAAATTATTACTTCTTGGAGTCACATAATGATATTTACTTTTCAGTAGACCTGAAGTGCATTGTAGAAAATGACTTTAAATCACGAGTTGTGAAACGGGGTTGTAAAATGTCCCATGGGAGACGCATCATTTTTCTGCTTTACTTTTTCTTGGGTTCAAAAATATGAAATCCACAGATGTATAATGACTGGCACACAAAAACCTTTATAAGCGCGTTGTTTATCTCTGAGATCAAGGATTTGAAAATATAGACTGGGATGTTTAAAGAAATCTCTCACTGATTATCCTAATGCAGCAACGACAAATTATAATTCATTTAGGGAATCACTGTAAAATCCACTGAAAAGGTCTAACTGTGATCTATTTTTAATGGGTTTTTTTTTTTTTTTTTTTTTAGATTCAAGCTTTTGTGTTTCATCAGTTTTGAGAGACGGAGTGATTTCACAGGGCTGACACTTTAAAAGTGTATTGAAAGCATTTCAGAGCCAGAGGAAGCTTTGAGTATTCACAGATGCTTAACAAGTAAACCTGAGAAATGTGTCCCAAAGAATCATTAACCATTAACACGTTGCTTCCATCAGCGATCCGTTGGGATTGTTTTTCTTTTTGCCACATTTCTGTACTTTTAAAATAAAGAAATTGTTCCCTTTTCCTCAACTGACTCCTGAAAAAAGATGCAGATAATTTTAACATTACTTCTAAAGTTAACCGAAAATATGAGCTTTTGACGAGTTAAGACTAAATTAGAATGCTGTAAATAATCTACCAATTTTAAATGTTTAGCGCTGTCTTTCATCTGGACAAATCTTCCTGCTAAATGGAAAAAAAGAGAGAGAAAAACACTGTCTCCCTACATGGCATCTTTTTCTAAGTTTATTTCCTGGTATTATTTTAGTTTTATCTGATAAAATTAGTTTTATCTGCAGATGTTATTCCTATCTGCAGCGGAAACAGATAGGAATAATACGGACTCCGCAAAACTACTCCTGGTTCCTAGAAAAAGGGCCCTGCAGTGGAAACTTTCCAGGAAATCTAACTCGTGGCTATCACAGCTGATTTTTAGTTGTTTTTTTGTTTTTTTTAACAAAAGGGAAACGTTCAGGGTAAATCCACTCTTAGCTGTTCCACACAGGTGACTGACAGCTTCCAGGAACAGATGAGGGAGGAGAAAACTGAACGCCGTGCTCTGTCTGTCTGTCAGGAGTTATTAAGAGAAACATTAGTGTGGCTTTGAAACCCAGAAACCTCTTACCAACCATCGAGTCATACACCTTTTAATGTCGCTGTTGACAAGTATCCTAACCCTCCGCCATCATTAAATGCTCATCGTCGAGTGAGTATGTGAGTGGCTAAAGTAAAAATAGCAGTAAGTTTTTAAATTTGCAGACATTCCCTTATGTTTGGGGAAAGTTGCTGTTTCAAAATCTAAAATTCAATTGAATTCAGTCGGTAAAGTTCTTAATCTTCAGAAATGCTGGCATAAAACACTAGAAAAAAAAAAAAGAGTGGATGTTAAATTTGGCAACTAACATTTTCTTCTTAGTTTTACACGTCTGATGCTTTCCTAACCTAAAATGGCCACCGTTCCCATGTCAATTAATGATGATTTTCTTGCTGTTCTGCAGAATGCAACAAACAGCACGGCTGCAGGAGACGGCTCAGCCACCGGTAGTCGATTCAAACTCGATATTCTCAAGAATAAAGCCCGCACCTCCCTCACCAGCTCTCTGGAAAACATATTTGCAAGGGTAGGAATAAGTAGAATTTTTATTTATTTAGTTTTTATTTTAGTTCAGTCCTTCCCCTAGTTAGATATTTTCTCTCCAAGTTTTTGCTCTGCTTCTGTTTCTTTATTTTCTCTCCACCTGATTGGATGTAGCCACCTTTTTTGTTTCTTTTTTTTTGGTCCCCCACCCGCCTCAGTCTTTGTGGCAGTTGCTGGATGAGCGCGACACAGAATGTCGCGCTCATCCAAAGGGATTTGGATTGACCCATATCTGCCAGTGAGACAACACAATAATTCCTTAAGTGAAGGGATCCAGGCATTCAGAGAGTCTCTGCTGCCATCTGTTATTATCTCTTAGACCTTAGCTCAACCACCACACTGAATGCTATCACCTCTGAAAACATCCTCCCTCTTTGCATTTTCCCATTTCAGATTTTCCTTACGACTGTGCATTTCTTCAATTTTTTCTTTTTTTTCTTTTAGCGGTTGTATCCTAAAGAGTTAAAAAGAAAACAGTTATGTCACATAAACCCTAATTGTTTATTTTATCAAACACTTGTATCTTTTCGCACCGTGTTTCACGTTGTCTCTTGATATCTGTCACCAGGGTGCCAGCAGAATGCGGGGCCGCTTGGGAAGCATGGGAAGCATGAGCAGTTTCGAAAGAGTAAGTGTCCTTGAGAGAGAAACATGAGAATTCCCAGAGCGTCTATCAGGGGATTCTGGGAATTCCCACTTCTTCTTTTTTTTTTTTTTTAACCCTCTGGCTTATTAAACCCTTTTACACTCCAGCTTTGCCTTGAGCATCAGAGCAGGGTGATGGATTTGCTTTCTCTCCTTGGCTCCTCAAAACTCGAAGACGTGATTTTGCTCCGCATTGTTTCCAGGAGCTTTAAAGATTAAAGGGCAGCTGGCCGAGAGGCCGAGCCGGAATGTGTTTACGGAGGTGTCGGCGAGCTGCTGGTAACAAGCGGTCGCATTTTGTTGCCGTTGTGCGGAATGTGAAGCGAGTATGAAACGAAGTCCCGTTTGCCCGTCAGCGCGTTGAGCACACGCCCGCCGCAGCTTTTACGACACAGATACAGGATCATTACTGCTGACCTAATTAAGTTCATCTTAAAATTAGAAAATATGAATATAATATATAGATGAATAAATATAATATAAGCTCTGATCATTTATATTATCATTTAAGGTTATTTAGATGGTCAGATACATATAAGGAGAGAACATAGGTGAGTGAGTCACTGTTTTTTCTTGAATTCATGACATAAATTTGAAATGCGTTTTAGTTGCACATAGTGTTAAAGTGTTGAAGTAGTTCAAATCTGATTTTATTTATAGGTGCAGGCCTATGGTCACATTACTCCAGATCTTTTTTTTTTTTTTTTTTTTAAAATTTTTTTTTTTATTGGGAAAAACCGAAAGGGTTTAAAAC